TCCGCCAGGGCCACTCAGCTCCTTATCTCATTACAGCCTTGGTTCAATCATGGTCAAAAAAGCTGAATTCCAGAGGTGGGGTGAGAGTGACAGCCCTTGATATCAAGACTGCATTCGACCGAGTGTGGCACCAAGGAGCTCTAGCAAATCTGGAATCAATGGGCTTCAGGGGACAAACTCTCCTGTGGTTGGAGTCATACCTGACCCATAGGAAGATGGTTATGGTTGTTGCAGGTCAATCATCTCAGTTCCAGGACATCTCTGCAGGAGTTCCTCAGGGTAGCGTCCTAGGCCCAACCATCTTCAGCTGCTTCATCAATGATCCATCTTCCATCATAAGATCAGAAGTGTGGATGTTTGCTGATGATTGCACAATGTTCAGCACCATTCGTGACTCCTCGGACACTGAAGCAGTCCACATTCAAACGCAACAAGATCTGGACAATATCCAGGCTTGGGCTGACAAGTGGCAAGTGACATTCACACCACACAAATGCCAGGCTATGACCATCACGCCTTCGCATTCAATGGTGTTACCATCACTGAATCCCCCACTATCAACATCCTGAATTGACCAGAAACTCAACTGGACTCACCACATAAACACAGTGGCTACAAGAGCAGGCCAGAAGCTAGGAATACTGCAGCAAGTAACTCAACTCAACTCCTGACTCCTCAAAGCCTGTCTGCCATCTACAAGGCCCATGTCAAGAGTGTGATGGAATACTCCCTACTTGCCTGGATGAATGCAGCCCCAACAACACTCAAGAAGCTTGACACCATCCAGGACAAAGCAGCCCGCTTGATTGGCACTACATCCACAAGCATCCACTCCCTCCACCACCGACGCTCAGTAGCAACAGTGTGTACTATCTACAAGATGCTCTGCAGGAATTCACCAAAGATCCTCAGACAGCACCTTCCAAACCCACGACCACTTCCATCTAGAAGGACAAGGGCAGCAGACAAGTAGAAACACCACCAACTCCAAGTTCCCTTTCAAGCCACTCACCATCCTGACTTGGAAATATATCGCCGTGCCTTCACTATCGCTGGCTCGAAATCCTGGAATTCACTCCCTAATAGCATTGTGGGTCAACCCACAGCAGGTAGACTGCAGCGGTTCAAGAAGGCAGCTCACCACCACCTTCTCAAGGGAAACTAGGAATGGGCAATAAATGAATTTTTAAAAATCTCCTCTGCACCCTCTCTAGTGCAATCACATCCTTCTGGTACTGTGGTGACCAGAACTGTACACTGCATTCCATCCGTGGCCCAACCAATGTTTTATAAAGTTGTCACAAGACTTCCTTGCTTCTACATTCTATGTTAGAGCTAATGAAGGCAAGCCTCCCATACGCCTTCTTTACCATCCTGTTTACCTGTACTGACACCTTGAGGGATCTATGGAATTATACACCAAGGTCCCTTTGTTCCTCAGTACTCCCTCAGGATCTACCATTCATTCCCTTATTAGACCTCCCAAAATGCATCACTGATTGGGATTTCAATGCTGTATAATCTATGACTCTAATATTCCATCTGCCAGTTTCTTGCCCACTCACTAAACTTGTCTATATCCCTTTGCAGACATTTTGTGTCATCCTCACCACTTACCTTCCCATCTATTTTTGTGTCATCCACACATTTGATAATAATGCATCTATTTTCCTCATTCAACTCACTAATAATTGTGGCTCTAGCACTTATCCCTGTAGCACACCATGTATTACAGGTTGCCATCCTGAAAATGCCCCTCTTAGCCCCACTGTCTGTTTTCTGTTAATTAGCCTATCCTCTGTCCATGCTAATGTAATACTCCCAAATCCATGGGCTTCTGAAAACCCAAATTTATTACATCCAATACTTCCCCTTTGTCTATTCTGCTTATTACCACTTCAAAGAATTCTTGTACATTTGTCAGGTATGATTTGCTGTTCATGTAGCCATGCTGATTCTGCTTGATCATATTCTGCATTTCTAAATGTTCTTCTACAATGTTCTTCATAATAGAGTCTCATTTTCCCAATAACAAATATTAAACCAAGTGACATGTAATTACCTGTTTTCTGTCTCCTCTTTTCAAAACAAGGATGCTACATTGGCATTGCCCAATCCTCTGGAACTCTGGGACAGAATCTCGGAATTCCTGGAAGATTACTACCAGAGCATCTAATATCTCTGTAGCTACTTCCTTTAATATCCCAGATGCATCCCATCAGGTCTAGGGGAACTATTGGTCTTCAGCCCCATTAGTTTCCCTCGTATGCTTATTCTCTGGTCTTAGTTATTGTATGTATTTCCTCTCCTCCTCTTGCTCTTTGCATATTTGGTAATTTTTGGATGCTATTAGTGTCTTCTACTGTGAAGAATGATGTAAAATATTTATTCAACTCCTCTGCCATTTCCAGGTTCCCCATTATCATTTCCCTAGTCTCCTTCTCTACGGGGCCTATGGTCACTTTGGCTTCTCTAAGGAAGCTCTTGCTGTTTATTTTGATATTGCTTGCAAGTTTACCCTCAAAGTTTATTTCCTTCCTCTTTAGTATTTTTTTGGTCATCTTTTGTGGTTTTTTAAAAAATTTCCCAATCCTCGGGTTTACCACTAATCCTTACCATATTGTATATTGCATCTTTCAATCTGATGCTATCCTTAACTGCCCTGGTTAACCATAATTGGATTATCCCCTTCCTAGAATCCTTCTTGCTCATTAGGATATATCATTGCTGTGAGTCAAGAACTATTTTCTTAAATATGTGCCATTGTTTCTCAAGTGTCTTTACTTCAAACCTCCTATCCTAGTCCAATACAGCTAGTTCTGTCTTCAGTTATTTGTAATTACTTTTGCTTAAGCTTAGTACAATTATTTCTGATCCCAAGTTCTTTGCTCTCAAACTGAAAACTAAATTCTACCATGTTATGGTCACTGCTCCCTTTTATTCTGACATCATTTATTAAACCTGCCTCACTGCACACCACCAGATCCAAAACTGCCTGTTGGATCCACAACATATTGTTCTAGGAAACTGAGATAGTAGGAACTGCAGATGCTGGAGAATCCGAGACAACAAGGTGCAGGGCTGGATGAACACAGCAGGCCAAGCAGCATCATAGGAGCAGTCCTGATCTTCCAAGGTTAAAAAAAATGCACTTTTCTACTATAAGATATACATTCCTAATTTGCAGACACAATAACCACACAGATACAACTGACACACAGATGCAGATACAGCTAATACACAGACACAACTAACACAGTTATAGACACAGCTAATACAAAGACACAGACACAGCTAACGCATAGACACAACCAACACAAAGACATGGACACAGCTAACACAGACACAACTAATACACAGACTCAACTAACACACAAGCACAGCTAACAGACAGACATAGCTATCAGACAGACATAGTTAACACACAGACACAGCAAACACACAGACGGACATAGCCAATACACAGAAATAACTAATACGCAGACACAACTAACACATGGATACAGAAACAGCTAACACAGTAAACACACAAATACATCTAACACACAGACATAGCTATCACACAGGCACAACTAACACACAGACAAAGATACATCTAACACACAGACACAACTACACACAGTCATGGCTATCACAGAAACACAACTTACATGCAGCCACTGTTTAGGCTCAGTTAGCAGGATGGCTAGTTTGCAGTATAGAGCAATAGTGACAGCAGGGGTTCAATTCCTGCACCAGCTAAGGGTTACCATGAAGGACTTTACTTCTCAGTCCCTCCCCTTGCCTGAGGCAGTGTAACTGTCAGGTTAAACTACCACAAGTCATCTCTCTCTAAGAGAGTTTAGAACTGGGATAACTTCACCTAGTCATTACTGCAGACACTGCTCACTCACACTCACAACACATGTACCTGGTACAAGTGCACGCACCTGCAATAGCTGTGAAACATGACCACGAATTTCCAATTTTCACAATTTATGATATTCCTGTCCATCCTGAAGAAATTTTTCTAACCAGCAAGCTGCCAATTTGTTCTCAGCCCGTTTTGGTCCTAATACATCGGACAGTTTTGCCTCTGCTCTCTCCAGGACTCGGGCTGCGCTATTGGTGTCCGTGGGTCACAGAGCAGGAAATGGTAGAATGATGGGATCACATACCTGTTCCAAGTAAGCAGCTTTGGCCACAATAATTACCACGACATTTCCAAATGCAACAGTGAGGAGCCAGCCAGATTGGAGAACAGCTTTCATGTTCAAAGGAGCCTGAAATAACAAAAATGGCAGTGATTGTGCACTGGAAACATCTTCTCCCCAAACAAATAAATGATTCTGAAAAATCGTTACAGAATTATACAGCACAGTAAGGCCATTCTGCCTATCGTGCTCTGTCTGGCTTTTTGAATGAGCTACCAGAGCAATTCGACTCCCTTTGTTTTTTCCTCAAATATGTATTTTTCTAAAGAAGGGTCCCGACCTGAAACGTCAGTTTTCCCTCTCTTCTGATGCTGCCTGGCCCTCCAGCGTTCCACCAGCTCCACACTGTGTTATCCCTGACTCCAGCATCAGCAGTTCTTACTTTCTTTATGTATTTCTCCAACTCCTTTTGAGTCTTAGCACTGAAATCGAATTCAATCATTCTCCCTGTGAAATGCATTCAAGATCATAAGAGCCCACAGAACCATAGAATCCCTACAGTGTGGAAGCAAGCCATTCAGCCCATCAAGTCCACACTGACCCTCTGAAGTGCATCCCACCCAGACCCACACCCCCTACCCTATCCCTGTAACCCTGCATTTGCTATGGCTAACCCACTTGGCCTGCACATCCCCAGACACTGTGGGCAATTTAGCATGGCCAATCCACCTAACTTGCACATCTTTGGACTTTTCACTTTGAAAAGAATAAAATATGTAACCTCCCCATTGCTCAATAATTAAGTTCTCAGTAGCAGCAAACAAGGTACAATAATCATTTTCCGCAACTTGGGATTGCAAAGTGAGGTATCTGTGACAGTGGCCCAGACAGAAGAACTAAATCCTGTTTGGTGTATCGTGCTTTTAATTTGCTGGAAGATGACATGAGGCCAGTGGTTTACTTTTTGGCTGATGCAGGCATGATGGGCCTCCATCTTTGCCATAAATGTTTCTACATTTTCCAAACACTGTGAATATCTGAGGAGGAGGAGAAATGCGCAGTCATGGAGGAAGAGGGTTGGGGAATGTCAGTAAGAGAATGGTTCCTTAGGAGATCCAGTACAGACACAATGGTTTGAGCTGCCATTTTGGGTGCTAACGATATTTTTTTTACAAAAACTCATTCAAAGGATGTGGATGTTGCTGGCTCACCTCTAGTCTCCCTTGAGAAGGTGGTGGTGAGCTGCCTTCTTGAACCGCTGCAGTCCACCTGCTGTGGGTTGACCCACAATGCTATTAGGGAGGGAATTCCAGGATTTTGACCCAGTGACAGTGAAGGAACGGCGATAAATTTCCAACTCAGGTGAGTGGCTTGAAGGGGAACTTGCAGGTGGTGGTGTTCCCATGTATCTACTGCTGTTGTCTTTCTAGGTGATAGAGGTTGTGGGTTTGGAAGGTGCGGTCAAAGGAATCTTGGTCAGTTACGGCGCTGCACCTCATCGATGGTATTCACATTGTATTGGTGGTAAAGTCAGTGAAGGTTGAATGTGTTGGATGGGGCGACAATCAAGCGGGCTGCTTTGTTCTGAATGATCATAGAGTCATGCAGCATGGGAACAGACCATTTAGTCTGATCAGTCCATGCTGACCATAATCCCAAACTAAACTAGTCCCACCTGCCTGCTCCTGCCCATATCCCTCTAAACCTTTCCTATTCATGTACTTATCCAAATGTCTTTTAAACATTGTAACTGTGCCCACATCCACTGCTTCCTCTGGAAGTTCATTCCACACACAAACCACCCTCTGGGTAAAAGAATTTGGCCTCATGTCTTTTTTAAATCTCTCTCCTCTCACCTTAAAAATGTGCCCCCTCGTCTTGAAATCCCCTATCCTCCAGAAAAGACATCTACCAGCAACACTATCTGTACCCTTCATTATTTTATAAACTTCTACAGGGTCACCTCTCAACCTTCTACGGTCCAGTGCTGCACCCATCCAGGCAAGTGGGGAGTATTCCATCACACTCCTGACTTGTGCCTTGTAGATGGCGGACAGGCTTTGAGGAGTCAGGAGGTGAGTTACTGGCTGCAGTGTTCCTAGCTTCTGGCCTGCTCTCGTAACCACAGTGTTTATGTGGTGAGTCCAGTTCACTTTCTGATCAATGGTAACCCTTAAGGATGTTGATTGTGGGGGATTCAGTGATGGCAATATTAAGGGGGTCAGTTGCCTGGTGAATGATACTTGGTTCTGTGAACGATTTCGTGTTGTAACATGGTTACAGTAGCAGAGCTTTGAATAAATTAAATAAAATTGGACCCATTATATATAGCCCTGCTCCACTGTGGTTTCCCTTATTTCATATCGTATGACTATCAGGAAATTAGCAAATGAACTATAAAGTTCTTGATCGGATCTCGTCCAGTAATTCCCACATCCCTTGGATTTTAGATCTTGCCTCTTGGCTCCCCCTGATGGTTAGTGAAGGTAGTGCGATTCTTTGCTTCTTCATCAGAGGAAGGATGGGGTGAAATAGTAACAGAAGGACTACGATGTTGTGGCCATTACAGAAACTTGGGTAACTCAGGGACAGGAATGGTTGTTGGAAGTTCCAGGATTTAGATGCTTTAAAAGAAATAGGGAGGTGGAAAAAGAGGTGGGTGGTGGCATTGCTAGTCAGGGCTAGTACAGCAGCTACTGAAAGGCAGTTTGAGAATGATATGTGTACAGAGTCAGTTTGGGTTGAGGTCAGGAACAAGAAAGGAGCAGTCACTTTGTTGGGGATTTTTACAGACCCCCTAACAGTTGCAGAGGAGTGGAGGAGCGGATTGGGAGGCAGATACTGGAAAGGTGCAGAAGTCACAGGGTTGTAGTCATGGGTGACTTCAACTTTCCAAATATTGATTGGAAACTTTTTAGTTGTAATAGTTTAGATGGAGCAGATTTTGTCCAGTGTGTTCAGGAAGGATTCCTGACACAGTATGTAGATTGACCAACACGAGGAGAGGCCACTTTGGATTTGGTGCTTGGCAATGAACTGGGCCAAGTGTTAGACCTGTTGGTAGGAGAGCATTTTGGCGGTAGCGATCATAACTCTGTTACTTTTACAATAGTCATGGAAAAGGATAGGTACATACGGCAGGGTAAGGTTTATAATTGGGGGAAGGGTAAATACAATTCTGTTAGGCAAGAACTGGGTAACATAAAATGGGAACAGATGCTGTCAGGGAAGAGCACTATAGAAATGTGGAGATTGTTTAAGGAATGCATATTGCGTGTGCTCGATATGTTTGTCCCTAGCAGGCAGGGAAGACGCGGTCGAGTGAGGGAGCTTTGGTTCTCAAGAGAGGTCGAACAACTGGTTAAGAGGAAGAAGGATGCTTATATAAGGTTTAGGAAACAAGGAACGGAAAAGGCTCTAGAGGGATACAAGTTATCCAGGAAGGAGCTGAAGAAAGGGCTTAGGAGAGCTATAATGGGGCTTGAGAAAAGCCCCTTTAAAGCTCTCCTAAGCGAAAACCTTGGCAGATAGGATCAAGGGAAACCCCAAGGCTTTTTACATGTACGTGAGGAATAAGAGAATGACCAGAGAAAGGGTAGGGCCAATCAAGGATTGTAAAGGGAATTTGTGCACGGAGCCTAAGGATATAGGAGAGGTCCTTAATGAATACTTTTCTTCGGTATTCACAACTGAGAGGGACCTAGTGTGAAACAGGCTGGTAGGCTAGAGGAGTTCGACCTTAGTAAGGAAGATGTACTAGGAATTTTGAGGAACTGGAAAATAGATAAGACCCCCGGGCCTGATGGGATTTATCCAAGGATTCTATGGGAAGTGAGGGAACAGATCGAAGGGCCTTTGGCAATGATCTTTTCGTCCTCACTGTCCACGGGTATAGTGCCAGAAGATTGGAGAGAGGCAAACGTCATTCCCTTGTTCAAAAAAGGAATAGGGATAACCCCGGAAATTACAGGCCAGTTAGTCTTACATCAGTGGTGGGAAAATTACTGGAAAGGGCTCTGAGAGATAGGATTTATGATCCCTCGGAAAGGCACAGTTTGATTCGTGATAGTCAGCATGGATTTGTGAGGGGTAGATCATGTCTCACAAACCTTACTGAATTCTTTGAAGAGGTGACCAAACATGTGGATGAAGGTAGAGCAGTGGATGTGGTATACATGGATTTAAGTAAGGCGTTTGATAAGGTTCCCCATGGTAGGCTCATGCAGAAGGTAAGGAGGCTTGGGATAGGGGGAAATGTGGCAGACTGGATTCAGAATAAGCTGACCCTTCAAATACAAAGGGTGGTAGTGGACAGAAAATATTCAACATGGTGCTCAGTTACAGGTAGTGTACCACAAGGATCTGTTCTGGGTCCTCTTCTGTTTGTGATTTTTGTAAATGATTTGGATGTAGGAGTGGAAGGGTGGATTAGTAAGTTCGCGGACGATACGAAGGTGGGTCACGTTGTGGATACTGCTGAGGGCTGTTCTAGGTTACAAAGGGACATTGATAGGATGCAGAGCTGGGCTGAGAAGTGGCAGATGGAGTTTAACCCAGAAAAGTGTAAGGTGATTCATTTTGGAAGGACAAACTTGAAAGCAGAATACAGGGTTAACGGAAAGATTCTTGGCAGTGTGGAGGAGCAGAGGGATCTTGGGGTTCATGTCCACAGTTCCCTGAAAGCTGCCACCCAGGTGAATAGAGTTGTTAAGAAGGTGTATGGTGTGTCAGCTTTCATTAATAGAGGGATTGAGTTCAAGAGCCGTGAAGTTATGCTCCAGCTATACAAAAGCCTGGTTCGGCCACATCTGGAGTATTGTGTCCAGTTCTGGTCACCTCACTACAGGAAAGATGTGGAAGTATTGGAAAAGGTGCAGAGGAGATTTACCAGGATATTGCCTGGAATGGAGGGTAGGTCTTACGAGGAAAGGTTGAGAGAGCTAGGGTTTTTCTCTTCAGAATGACGAAGGATGAGAGGTGACTTGATTGAGGTGTCCAAAATGATCAGAGGTATAGATAGAGTGGACAGCCAGAGACTTTTTCCCAGGGTGGAGATAGCTATTATGAGGGGGCATAGTTTCAAAGTGAGTGGAGGTAGATATAGGGGAGACGTCAGAGGTAGGTTCTTTACTCAGAGAGTGGTCAGGGTGTGGAATGCATTGCCGCAGAGGGTAGTGGAGTCGGCCTCATTAGGGGCATTTAGGCAACTATTAGATAGGCATATGGATGATAGTATAAGGTAGGGGTGGAGGTTAGATAGACCTTAGGATTAGTGTAAAAGTTCAGCACAACATTGTGGGCTGAAGGGCCTGTACTGTTCTATGTTCTATGTTATAAAAGGAGAACTTGCTGGGACAGCTGAGCAGATCTGGCAGCATCTGTGAAGAGAAATCAGAGTGAAAGTTTCAGGTCTAGTGACCCTCCCTCAGAATTGAGTGAAATAGTCTTGGGATATATTTTCCTCACTCCGACGGGAATTTAGCAGAATTATTTCGGGAGAGTTGGTTGGAGGAGTTCCTGTGTATTTGCTCTGCTCGAGGTCTGAATAGGGTGGTGGATCAAGCAGGAGCTGAACGTTATGCTAGATAAGTGTAAACAGGACCCATTGTAGCTATGCTGAGTGACTGCCAGTCAGCGTTAGGGGAGCTGTTTGCTGGTTCACCCACGACCCACCCAATCTGAGGAACCGCACTGATAGAACGCAAGAAGCAAGCTGCACTGTCTCATGTCGCTAAAGGGAAAGGCCAGCAAAGCTGAGTGCAGTGTGTTGGAGGGGCGGGGAGGGGGAGAGGTGAACACAATTTGTTCTGTTACCCAATTACGAGGGGGAATCTGATACAATTAATCCAAGCAAGACTGTTATGAGGGAACAAAAATTCCTTTACAGTGCTTTAGAAGAGATGCACAAAACAATCTGCGAAAGACCATAAGATACAGGAGCAGAATTAGGCCATTTGACCCAATGAGGCTGCTCTGTCATTCAATCATCGCTGATATGTTTCTCAACCTCATTCCCCTGCCTTCACCCTGTAAACCTCAATCCCCTTACTAATCAAGAGCGTATCTATCTCTGACTTAAATGCACTCAATGACTTGGCCTACGTAGCCCTCTGCAGGAATGAGTTCCACAAGTCCACCTGGTTGAAGAAATTCCTCCTCATCTCACCCTCAGGCTGTGCCCTTGTGTCATAGTCTCTCCTACCAGTGGAAACATCTTCTCCATGTCCACTCTGTCCAGGCCTCTCAGTGCTCTGTAAGTTTCAAACAGATCCCACTCATTCTTCTAAACTCCACTGAGTTCAGACCCAGACTCCCCAACCGCTCCTCATAAGACAAGCTCTTCATCTCTGGGGTCATTTTCGGAAACCTCCTCTGAACCCCCTCCAACACCAGCACATCCTTCCTTAGATACAGAGCCCAAAACCGCTACAAGAAAGTTCCTGAGTGTGAAGGACTTTGTTGCGCAGATTGATTGGAGAAGCTGGGATTGTCCTCCCTGGAGAAGTGAAAGGTGTTAAGTGAGTTGTTTGAGATGTTTAAAATTGTGAGGGCTCTGGGCACAGTGGAGAGGGAGAAACGGTTTCCATTGTCAGAAGGCTTGTGAACTAGAGGGCAGAGTTAAGATGATTGGCTAAAGAACCGAAGGCCACATCAGAAGACATTTCTTTCCAGACAGTAAGTGGTTAGGGTCTGGAATGAACTGTCTGAGAGTGTGGGGGAGGCAGAATCAACAGTGCTTTTCGAACGGAAAAGAAAATCAGGGAAGTGGTGAACAAGTGTCTGAGCTGTTCTTGCAGAGAGCTGGTAGGGATTCGATGGGTCAAATGGCTTTTTTTCCTCCTGTGACCCATTCTGTGGTAATTGGATGTGGTTCACAAGAGGTAGTGCGGGGACGAATTGTCTCCTTCCATGTTCAGGACACACACGTGTTCGTCATTGCCTGTAGGCAGGGTAAAGCAGGAAGTTCTGGTAAAGAAACAAGGCCAGCTCACATACTGCAGCGGAAACCTGACGGTGACCCAGTGGTAGCACAGTGCTGCAGACAAATCAATTCGAGGCCCACGCAGACAAAGGACATCGGTGAGGCGAACAGGACCCCTGAAAGAGCAACACGAGTGGGTAAAGTGATAAAGAAGGCACAGGGTATGCTTGCTGTATGAGTAAAGAAGTTGGCAAGAAGTTGCTGCTGTGTTAGGGCCACATCTGGTGAACCGTGGGCAGTTCTGGTCGCTGCACTGTGGGAAGGATGCGGAAGCCTTGGAGAGGGTGAAAAAAGAGGTTTATCAGGATATTGCCTGGATTGGAGTGTATTAGATACAAGGAGAGGTCGGACAAATTTGGATTATTTTCGCTAAAGCGTCAGAGATGGAGGGGTTACCTGATAGAAATATATAAAATTAGAAGAGGCATGGATAGAGTGGATCAATAGAGTCTCTTTCACAGGGTGGAAATGTCAAATACAAGGGGGTGGAGGTTTAAGGTCAGTGGGGGCGGGGAAGTTTAACGGAGATGTCAAGGAAGGATTTTCAGACAGAGGATGACAGCTGTTTGAAATGCACTGCCAGGGGAGATGGTCGAAGCAGATGCTATAGCAACGTTTAAGAGTTATTTATACAGACACACATATAAGCAGGGAATTGAGGGACATAGAACACATGTAGGAAGATGGCATAATGGTTGACACAGACATGGCGGGCCGAAGGGCCTGTTCCTGTGCTATGTTCTAAGGACTGCAGGAAGACGGATTTAAGTTTGGTGTTAGAGATACAGACGAGGATGTGAGGAAGAACATTTTTCCACAGCGAGTTGTAATCATAGAATTCCTACAGTGTGGAAACAGGCCCTTCGGCCGAACAAGTCAACACCGACCCTCAGAGCATCCCACCCAGACCCATTCCCCCTATAGCCCACCTAATCTACACATCCCTGAACACTATGGGGCAATTTAGCATGGCCAATCCATCTAGCCTGCACCTCTTTGGACTGTGGGAGGAAACCGGAGCACCCAGAGGAAACCCATGCAGACACGGGGAGAATGTGCAAACTCCACACAGACAGTCACCCGAGGGTGGAATTGAACACGGGTCCCTGGAGCTGTGAGGCAGCACGGCTAACAACTGAGCCACCGTGGGACTTGCTGCCTATGAGTGTGGTGAGGGTGGAGACAATGATTTCAAAGCAAGCTGGATGGGCATAGAGTCAAGCAGCACGGAAACAGGCCCATCAGCCCTACTCATCCATGCTGACCAGGTTTCCTAAACTGAACTAGTCCCATTTGCCTGCCATATCCCTCTGAATCTTTCCTATCCACGTGCCTCTCCAAATGTCTTTTTAAATGTTGTAATCGTACCCATCTCCACTACTTCCTCAGGTAGTTCATTCCATACATGCACCACCCTTAGGTCCCTTTTAAATCTTTGGCCTCTCATCGTAAACCAATGCCCTCTAGTTTTGCACTCCCCTACCCTGGGAATAGCCTTTGGCTATTCATCTCTGCCCGTAATGGTTCTAGAATACTTAAGGGAAATAAATTTGCAGAGAAAATGGGGAGAGAATGAGTGAATGAAACTGTTTGGACTGCTCTACAGAGAGCTGGCATGTACCTGAAGGGCAGAATGGCTTCCTTCTCAACTGTAATAAATGTATAACTCAGAACAGACGAATTTAATTGAGGAGTGATCTGATCAAAATGTTCAAGATATTAACAGGAAAGGACAGGGTAGATAAAGATAAACTATTTCCACTGGTTGGCGTTTCCAGAAAGAGGGGCATAGCCTGAGTATTAGGGCCAGGCCGTTCAGGAGAGACTTTAGGAAGCACTTCTAAACACAAAGGGTGGTAGGTGTTTGGAATTCTTCCACAAATGGCAGTGGATGCTGGTTCAGTTATTAATTTTAAATCTGAGACACGTAATTTATTTTAAGCGAAGGTATGAGGGACATAGGCCAAATTCAGGTGTATGAAGTTGGGTCATGGATCAGCCTGGCCTCATTGAATGGTGGAACAGGATTGAGGGGCTGAATGGCCAACTCTTGTTTCTAGTTTAGACTTCTAGTTCCCAAATTAATCACTGCTGAAAATTCCACAACTCATTCAATCTCTGGGTCTATCAAAAGCTAGAAAAATCATCTAGCAATCATCTTATGCAGTACAAATGTCCTTTCCCCTTTACTCTGGTATTTTTGCACATGATCCTGATCAAAACAAAAATATATCTTTATGATCAAAGCATCCAGTAGTCCCTGTTGAAATATCTTTCTCTTAGTTTAAGCCCAGCAATGTCAGACAAGCTCAGGGACATTACAATACCTGTGAGTAAGAGAATTCCACACCAGTGATGGAGAACATAACCTCTCCAGCAGACATCAAGACATACTGAGGGATTTGCCACGCAACGTGCATGATGTTCGCTTTGATGTCTTCAGTCTTCCAAATCTTCAAGCTGTGGTCTTTAGGCTGAAAGAAAGTGGAACATAACAGGAAAAAAGTCAGTGCTTCCAAACCCAAGAGATATCATGTCAAGAAACTACAGAAGGTGGTATGCACAGCCCAGACCATCACGGAAGCCAACCTCCCACCCATGGACTCCACTTACATGTCTCATTGCCATGGAAAGGCCACTAACGTCATCAAAAGACCCATCCCTATCCCAGTAATGCTCTCCTACAACCTGTTCCGTCAGGCAGAAGCTTGAACACACGCACCAACAGGTTCAAGAACAGCTTCTTCCCTGCTGTTATTAGACTGCTGCGTGGACCTCTCTAACTTCAAATAATGTTGAGCTTGTTAATGCTGATCTTGCCTCATGCATGTTCTGTGCAGTGTAACCTGTATACCTTACTCTGTCCAAGCTTTCTTTTCACCCTATGATCTGTATGCCCTTGCTTACTATGATCTGCCTGTACTGCTCACAAACAAGGCTTTTCACTGTACTTGGGTATACTGCAGTATAATTTGGATAAATGTGAGGTTATTCAGTTCGGAAGCAAACACAAGAAGGCAGATTACTACCTGAATGGCTGTAAATTGGGAGAGGGGAGTGTGCAGTGGGACCTGGGTGTCCTTGTGCACCAGACGCTGAAGGTAAGCATGCAGGTGCAGCAGGCAGTAAAGAAGGTAAATGGTATGTTGGTCTTCATTGAGAGATGTTTCGAGTACAGGGGCAGGGGTGTGTTGTTGCAATTGTACAGGGCCTTGGTGAGACCACACCTAGAATATTGTGTGCAGTTTTGGTCTCCTTTTCTGAGGAAGGATGTTCTTGCTCTCAAGGGAGTGTAACAAAGGTTTACCAGGCTGATTGCAGGGATGGCGGGTCTGACGTATGAGGAGAGATTGACTAGGTTAGAATTGTTTTCACTAGAGTTCAGATGAATGAGGGGGCGATCTCACAGAGACTTATAAAATTCTAACAGGACTGGGCAGGGTAGATGCAGGGAGGATGTTCCCAATGGTGGGTGTGTCCAGAACCACGGAATCACAGTGTGAGGATTCGGGATAAACTATTTAGGACAGAGATGAGGAGACATTTCTTCACCCAAAGAGGGGTGAGCCTGTGGAATTCATTGCCACAGGAAGTAGCCAAAACATTGAATGTATTCAAGAGGCGGCTAGATATAGCACTCGGGGCAAATGGGATCAAAGGTTATGGGGAGAAAGCAGGATTAGGCTATTGAGTTGGATGGTCAGCCGTGATTGTGAAGAATGGCGGAGTGGGCTTGAAGGGCTGAATGGCCTCTTTTTGCTCCTATATTCTATGTTTCAATGTTTCAATCAATCAATTAATTAATCAATGAAAGTGGCAGGGGAATTGGACGGTATTCAGATCAACAACTCACATTTCTACAGTGCCTTTAATGAAGCAAAGTGTCACTGCAGTGTTATAAAATAAAATATTCAATGGGTAGGCTTTAAGGAGTGTCTTAGAGGAGGAAAGAGAGGTAGAGAGGTGTAAGTAGTGAGTTCTAGGGGGTTGAAGACATGGCCTCCAGTAATGGACTGATTAAAACTGAGAACAATCGAGATCAAAAACAGCAGAAATTTGCCAAAAGAAAATTGGAAAGAAGCTTCTAGAATGCAGCTGATGAAATCTTCACCAACTTCTCATGGACTTTCTCTCAACATTTTTTTTTGTCTTATCAAACTTGCATCACCTATGCTTTAATTAAAGACCATGTCAGTACGGTAGATTCAACTACCAAATGGAAACATAGAAAATAGGACCCTTTAGCCCTAAGAACCAAATCTAACTTCTTCTATAAAACATTCATCACTTTGCCTCTGGTTTTGCATTTAATTCCTGATCTAAGATGGGAATGTTGTTTTCTAAAACTTGCCTTAATTCAGTAAACAATGTTTTGGGCAGGGTCTGCCTAACTGTAGATTCTTCTAACACAGTGGGAGGCCATTTGGCCCAACCTGCCTATGCTGGCTCTTTGAAAAATCTTTCCAATTAATCCCAACTGAAGAATTAACAGTTCATGTGGGACCTTCCGCCCCCTCGAGCACACTCTGCTGTTTGATAAGATTGTAGCCAATCTGACTGGGGCCTGTACTCCATGTTTCTGTCCATCTCCTGCAATTTCCCCACCGTCCCGCAAGTTCTAATCCAACAAAATTGATTGTATTATTCATCTTCACACTCACCGTTTTACCCAGAATGAGTGTATACGCTGCTCCAAAGTCGATCAGTCCCACATCCACAACCTGCTTCGTTGTTTCATTTTGGCACGATACTTTGTAGCTGTGTAAAACACACAATGATCAGTGGAACGAAGGACCTGATATTTGTTCCTGTTCACTCTCCAAAATAAAAAATATAGTGGGGTTCACGAGTGCTATATTAGGTCCATGTCATAGCAGTCTAGTTCTGGCCAGGTTCAAGACTCATGTTGTCTCCAGGCGAGTGGGGGTGGGGGGGGGTTAGGGGTTGGGGGAAGGGTGTGGGTATTGGGTTGGGGTGGTGTCACTCATAGAAGTTCCCAACCAATCCATTAGAATGCTTAGTAGAAACATAGAAAATAAGATCAGGAGTAGGCCATTCAGCACTTTGAGCTTGCTCTGCCATGTAATATGATCATGGCTGATCATCCAACTCAGTATCCTGTTCCTGCTTTTTCCCTGAACTCTTTAGCCCTAAGAACTATATCTAATTCCTTCTTGAAAACATTCAATGTTTAAGTCTCAACCACTTTCTGTGGTAGTGAATTCCACAGGCTCACCACTCTCTGGGTAAAGAAATTTCTTCTCATCTCAGTCCTAAAAGGCCTACCCTATATCCTTAGACTGTGACTCCTGGCTTTGGACTCCACCAGTCATCGGGAACATCCTTCCTATGTTTACCCTGTTACAAACTAATATACACTCGCTTAAATAAAGACAACACTTTGTCCTGGTTAATACCCCATAACTGACTTGTCACCTGCACTGAACCACAAATACCCACTCCCTCCACCTCCGACGCTCAGTAGCAGCAGTGTGTTCTATCTGTAAGATGCACTGTAGAAATTCACCGAGGCTCCTCAGACAGCACTTTCCAAACCCATGACCACTTCCCTCTAGAAGGGCAAAAGCAGCAAATACATGGGAACATCACCACCTTCAAGCTCCCCTCCAAGCCATTCACCATCCTGACTTGGAAATATATCGCCGTTCCTTCACAGGCGCTGGGTCAAAATCCTGGAATTCCCTCCCTAATGGTATTGTGGGTCAACATACAGCACATGGACTGTAGCGGTTCAAGAAGGCAGCTCACTACCACCTTCTCAAGGGCAACAAGGGACAGACAAGAAACGCTGGCCCAGCCAGCAACAGCTATATCTGCTGAATGAATAAAGAAAAAGTGAAAACCTGTTTCTTTGAGTTCAGAACAGGCAAATGAGCTGCACTGGTATAATTTGTTTTTACATGATCCCCCTCTCATTGCCACCTCATCTCACCCTTTCCAGCGACCCTTCTAAAGTTAATAAAAGTCTGCAGACTCTGGAGCTGTGAAATGTATAAAAAAATGTGCTGGAAAAATTCTGGCAGCATTTGTGGAATAGCATTAATGTATCAAGTGCAATGTTCTAAACAGTCATACTGGCCTCAAAATGTTAACTCTGTTTCTCTCTCCACGAGTTATAATCTATATATTTACATGTGGGATGTGGGTCTCACTGGCTGGCCAACATTTATTACCCATCCCGAGTTGCCCTTGAGAAGGTGGTGGTGAGCTGCCTTCTTGAACCGCTGCAGTGATATTGCCAGATCTGCTGGGTTTTACAGTACTTTCTGTTTTCATTTTAAAAGCCCTTCTATTTCTTTCTCTCTCATGTGCAGATTCAGCATCCCCTTAAATGTTATGTTATTGCCACACTGTTTGGCAATATGATAGTGCAATGACAATATCACTCAGGGCTAGTAAGCTAGAGCTCCAGCTTAATGCTCTGGAGATATAGGTTCAAATCTCACCAAAGGAACTAATGGTGTTTGATTAATAAAGCTCGCAATATATCTCTATCATTGTTCGCTTAAACAACCAATTGTCTTTTCGGAGAAGGAAATGTGCTTTACCTGTTCTGGCCTAGATGTGACTCTGGACCCATAGCAATACAGCTCATAAATTCTCTCTGAAATGGTCCAACATGTCACTCAATTCAAGGGTAATTAGTGTTGGGCCAAAAATGCTGGGCTTGCTAATGCCATCAATATTTAATGAAAGAATATTTTTAAAAATCCAGCCCTGCTAGTGAATCCTACGGTCGATCTACACTCTGGGCCACTCTCCTGAGCCTATCTCATTTATCCCCTCTGATTTCGGACTCCCTTACAAATGTAACACTTTCTCTACATCTACCTTATTAAAATCTTTCATTACCTCCGGGGGCATGTCCATAAAGATTCTAACCTACTTTTATAGATGCACCATAGAAAGCATCCTACCTGGGTGCATCACAGCTTGGTATGGGAACTGCTCTGCCCAGGACCATAACAAACTACAGAGAGTTGTGAACACAGCCCAGTCCATTACGCAAACCAGCCTTCCATCCATTGACTCCATCTGTGCTTCTCGCTGCTTTGGGAAGGCAGTCAACATCATCAAAGACCCTTCCCACCCTGGTTATAATCTCTTCCAACCTCCATTGGCAGAAGATACGAACGCTTAAACACACGTACCAGTAGGTTCAAGAATGGCTTCTTCCCCACTGTTATCAGGCTTCTGAATGGACCTCTCAAATTTTGAATCTGAATGTTGACCTTGCTCTTTGTGCACCTTCTCTGCAGCTGTAACATTGTATTCCTCACTCTGTTCTATTACCCTAATGCACTTTGTATGGTATGATCTGACTGTACAGCATGCAAAGCAAAACTTTTCATTGTACCTAGGTACATGTCAAATCAAATTAAAAATGATATCTATCAATTACACCCTCAATCTTCTCTTTTCTCGAAAAAGTGCCACTTCAGTTGGCGCACATTGCTCTCATGGTGATGAGGTGACTGAATGCTGAAGGTGGTGCCAATCAAGTGGCTGCTTTATCCTGGATGGTGTCAAGCTTCTTGAGTGTTGTTGGGGCTGCACTCATCCAGGCAAGTGGGGAGTATTCCATCACACTCCTGACCTGTGCCTTGTAGATGGTGGAAATCAGGGATGTGCAAGAAATCAGGATTGGAGGAGCACAGAGATCTCCAAGGGATGTTGGGCTGGAGAAGGATTTCTTCATTGCAGTTTCACAGCTCACCATAGATAGGATTCAAACGTAATCAATGAATTGCTCACCCACTATCATAGCTATAACACTAACATACCTACAATACATAGATGAGGGCTTTTTTTTTTTCCCTTTATTTATTCACGGGATGAGGGCGTCGCTGGCTAGGCAGCATTTATTGCCCATCCCTAATTGCCCAGAGGGCATTTAAGAGTCAACCACATTGCTGTGGGTCTGGAGTCACATATAGACCAGACCAGGTGAGGATGGCAGTTTCCTTCCCTAAAGAACATTAGTGAACCAGGTGGGTTTTTCCAACAATTGACAATGGATTCACGGTCATCATTAGATTCTTAATTCCAGATATTTATTGAATTCAAATTCCACCATCTGCCATCTGCCATGGCGGGATTCGAACTCTGATCCCCAGAACATTATCTGGGTCTCTGGATTCACAGTCCAGCAATAATACCACTAGGCCCTGATAATGTGGTGATTGAAATCCAAGGCACACATCGTGACAAAGTATTTCAGAAACAAACCTCCACTTACTATCCTCTATCCAGGACTGTGTACAACGAGCTTCCAAAGTTCTTGCCGACTGTGCCGAAATTCACATCTCCGATGGTAATGTTTAAATCTTCAGAGCCGGCATTTATGATTCTGTAGATAGAACTCAGGAACTGAGCACGGATCAGAAGAAAATGTTTACTTACAAGAGAAGATGGAGTAAATAAAGAGGACAGAGTCCTACCTCAATGTGGCCTTTCCCTTCTGTGGCTTTGATGTTTGATCTTCCAGCTGAATACAAAATAACGCAAATTATTGGGAGTTTGGGAAGGAAAGAAAGTTTTATTTTTAAAAGTTCCAAAAAAAAAGCAAAAACTTATAACAACAGTAATTGATTGAGGAAATCAGCTCCAGCACCGAAAAAAATATCAAAAAAAAGGAATCAGAGATAGTAGGAACTGCAGATGCTGGAGAATCCGAGACAACAAGGTGCAGGGCTGGATGAACACAGCAGGCCAAGCAGCATCTGCTTGTTGCAGCAGCACCTTGTTGTCTCAAAAAAAAGGAGCAGCTTTAACAGCCAAAATTCTCTCCCATCCACTATTTTGGATATTTCTCCATATTGCAATTCCACGGTGCCATTTCCGATCCATGGATGTCCTGAAGGGCTTTACATCCAATGATGTATTGGCAGAAGTGCAATGTAGCAAACTTGAGGGCAATTTTTTACACAGCAAGATCCCACCAACAGCCACGCCATAACGAGAAGGTAATCTGTTGGAACGGTGCTGGGTGAAGAATAAATATTGGCCAGGACACTGGGAAGACCTCTTCCTTGAAATAGTGCTGTGAGATCTTTTAGGTCCACCTGAAGGGAGGGGGGGCGTATCTCAGTTTGACATTCTCATTTGGAAGCCAGCACCTCCTGCAGTGCAGCACTCCCCCAGTACTGCACTGGAGCATCAGTCTAGATTCTGTGCTCCATTTTCCGCAGCGGGATGCGAACTTGCACCAATTAACACAGTAGGCTGTGATGCTATGAGTCCTACAGTGTTAGTTACTGTGAAGTGAGTCTTTCAATTCTTTGAGGGTAAATTGTTCAATGCGACATTAACACACAAAAGCCTTTTTACTACCTTTCTGGACTGTTTCATTGCAATGGGGGTTGGGGGGGTGCTGGGGTCCCACTCAATTTGGTGAATGCTACTTTAAAATTGAAGATAATGGAATTCCCTCCATATAAATTAAATGTTGATCATTGTTGAAATTTGTTCCCTTGACATTCAATGACATTACTATAATTGAATCCTCTATTACCAACACCCTAGGGATTAGGACTGAGCAGAAACTCAACTGGACCAGTCATTATAAATACAGCGGCTACAAGAGCAGGTCACAAACCTGGTTTAATGATGAGGTGGAAGATACAAGCACTGACAGTGAATGGTAATGTATACAGCTTTGCTGAGGGAGTTCCATGTTTGCCTTTTTAAAAGGCTGTAACGCACAAAGAAACACAATATATATTTGGAATCATTCTTAGGTAGGGTTCACATCGCCGTTTCACTGCCAAAAAAACTTTGTGAGATGTAAAAATCCAGCACCATTGACTCAGGCTAGGAACACTGTGGTGAGTAACTCACTTCCTGACTCCCCAAAGCCTGTCCACCATCTACAAGGCACAAGTCAGGAGTCTGATGGAATTATCCCCTCTTGCCCAGATGGGAGCAGCTCCATCAACACTCAAGAAGCTTGACACCATCCAGGACAAAGCAGCCCGCTTGATTGGTACCACATCCACAAGCATCCACTCCCACCAAACTGACGCTCAGTAGGAGCAGTGTGTACTATCTACAAGATGCCCTGCAAAAATTCACCAAAGATCCTCAGAGAGCACCTTCCAAACCCACGACCACTTCCAGCCACAAGTGGCGACTTGTAAACTTTTCACTGTACTCATTTGTGTACATGTGAGAATAGAGTTAATTCAATTCAATCCAGAAGGACAAGGGGAGCAGATACACAGGAACACCACAAGTTCCCCTCCAAGCCAGGCACCATCCTGACTTGGAAATACATTGTCATTCCTTCCGTGTTGCTGGGTCAAAATCCTGGAATTCCTTCCCTAAGGGCATTGTGGGCCTAACTACAGTACATGGACTACAGCAGTTCAAGATGGCCACTCACCACCACCTTCTCAAGGGCAACTAGGGCCTGGCAATACACCCGTATCTCATGAACAAATGACAAAACATGTCAAAGCTGCACATCACAAAAGCAAGTGCATTCCAAATGTTATTTTGTTGAAGGATCACCAGTAAGAGTGAGCACATGACAGACAAAATTAACCAGGATGCAGTGCTTTGGGAACGTCCAGCGCGAGGTTTAAAAGCTTGAAGACCACAGAAGGAGAGCAACGCTGAGGGAGTGCCACAGATTTCACATCCTGGTCAGCAATAAGTCAGTGTACGTGGTGCAATGATACTTCAGTTCAACAGGGAATAATGGGAATAGGAAGGTATGGAGGAAAAAGTTCAGAGGAACATTGATATATTGCAAATATAATCAAGATTATGACAGGTACGGAAGGAGCTGAATGAAAGGATTGACTATCAAATGATAAGCTATCATCTTTATGCACCCAGTCTGTTCAACCTCTCCTCAAAAGCCAACCCTCTCAACTCTGGAATAAACCTAGTGAATCACCTCTGCACGCCCTCCAGTGCCAGTACATCCTTTCTGAAGTAAGGAGTCCAAAACTGCACACATTACTCCAGGTGTGGCTTCACCAGCACCCTATACAGCTGTAATATAACCCCCCTGCTTTTAAACTCAATCCCTCTAGGAATAAAGGACAAAATTCCATTTGCCTTCTTAATTACCTGTTGCACCTGCAAACAAACCTTCTGCGATTCATGCACAAGGTCACCCAGGTCCCTCTGCACAGTAACATGCTGCAAATTTTTACCGTTCAAGTAATAATCTCCTTTACTGTTATTTCAACCAAAACAGACAACTTCACACTTATTAACATTGTACTCCATCTGCCAGACCTTTGCCCACACACAATCTATAAACAATCTATATCCCTCTGCAAACTTTCAGAGTCCTCTGCACACTTTGCTCTACCACTCGTCTTAGTGTCATCCGCAAACTTTGACACGCTGCACATGGTCCCCAACCCCAAATCATCTATGTATTTGTAAACAATTGCGGTCCCAACACTGATCCCTGAGGCACACCACTAGTTACTAACCGCCAATCAGAAAAGCACACATTTATCCCCATTCTTTGCTTCCTGTTAGTTAACCAATCCCGTATCCATGCTAATACATTACCCATATGGCCATGCTTGTTTATCTTATGCAGCAGCCTTTTGTGCAGTACCTTGCCGAATGCCTTTTGGAAATCTGGACATACCATATCTACTGGGTTCCCATTCTCCATACGTTCTCCATGCGCTCATAGAATCCCAGCAAATTAGTCAAGCATGACCTGCCTTTCATGCACCCATGCTGCGTCTGCCCATCAAGACAACTTCTATTGAGATGTCTTGCTATTTCTTCCTTGATGTTAGATTCAAGCATTTTCCCCACTACAGAAGTTAAGCTAATTGGCCTATAACTACTCATCTTTTGTCTACCTCCTTTTTTGAACAGTAGCATCACATTTGCTGTTTTCCAATCTGCTGGAACTGCCCCAGAGTCCATGGAATTTTGGAAAATTACCACGAGTCCATTTGCTATTTCTCCCGCCGTCTCTTTTAGTACCCTGGGATGCATTCCATCAGGGCCAGGAGACTTGTCTACCTTTAGCTCCATTAGCTTGTCCAACACTACCTCTTTCGTGATAATGATCATGTCTAGGCCCTCACCCACCTCAGTCTCTTTGTCATCAATTACTGACAAGTTATTTGTGCCCTCCACAGTGAAGGCCAACACAAAATACCTGTTTAAGATCTCAGCTATTTCCTCGTTTCCCATTATTAAATTCCCCTTCTCATCCTCTAAAGGACCAATGCTTACCTTAGCCACTCTCTTTCATTTTATATATTTATAGAAACTTTTACTATCCGTCTTTATAGTCTGAGGCAGTTTAGTCACATAATCTATCTTACTTTTCTTTTTAGCCTTTTTCGTATCTTTCTGTTGACCTTTAAAGTTTTCCCAATCTTCTAGTTTCCCACTGGTATTTGCCACTTTGTATGCCTTACTTTTAAATTTGATAGCCTCCCTTATTTCCTTAGACGTCCATGACTGATTACCCCTTTTTTCTACAGTCCTTCCTTTTCACTGCTATATACTTTTGCTGAGCACTTTGGAGAATTGCTTTGAAAGCCCTCCGATGTTCGTCAACTGTCCCACCATAAAGTCTTTGATTCCAGTCTACTTTAGCCAATCCTTCTTCATCCTATTGTAGTCCCCTTTGTTTAAGCACAGGACCCCGGTATTTGATTTTATCTTCTCACTTTCCATCTGTGTTCTAAATTCAACCATACTGTAATCGCTCTTTCCAAGAGGACCCTTAACTATGAGATCATTAATTATTCCTGTCTCATTACACAGGAGCTGATCTAGGATAGCTTGCTCCCTCATTGGTTCCATTACATACTGTTCAAGAAAACAATCGCGGATACATTCAACAAATTCCGCCTCAAGGCTGCCTTGACCAATCTAGTTCGACCAATCGACATGTAGATTAAAATCCCCCATGATAATTGCCGTGCCATTTTTACAGGCATTAACTATTTCTTTGTTTATTGCCCGTCCCAATGTGATATTATTATTTGGTGGCCTATAGGCTATGCCTTTCAGCTACATTTTTTTCTTAGAATTTCTAATTTCTACCCAAATAGATTCAACCATATCCTCCATAGAACCTATATCATCTCTCACTACTGCCTTGACGTCATCCTTAAATATCAGGGCTACATCACCTCCCTTACCTTCCTGTCTGTTCTTCCAAATAGTCTGATGCCCATGGATATTTAATTCCCAGTCATGACCATCCTGCAACCGTGTCTGGGTAATGGCTACTAAATCATTCGTGAGTTTTTACAAGAGCAGAAGGCCACTGGGAACTTTGAGAAGCTGACAAGCTCTAGCCTGTCAGAAACAGGTTTGGTAGGTGAAAAGTGTCTTATTTAATCGACAAAGGTTCTGTGCCGCAGCAATGAAATTTTCATACCATTGACATCTCTACCCTATTCCCAGTTTCCAGTTCCCACTTTGTCCAGGCCCATGTAAAGATGTAGGTGCTAAAACTTATTAAACAAGACTGAGAGCAAAGTGATGGCTGCTGAATCTGCATTTGAATTGCTTCGCCTGTGTACTACTTCTTTCCTTGCTTTCTGCACCCCCATCTCCCTCAATCCGGACTACTGACTGAGCACCACTTATCTATTAACCCCTCGACCCAATAAAGATCGGAAGTTTTGTCTGCTTCCCATTGGGTGCGAGTTTGAAACTGGTGAACAAACCTGGCCTCAAATCACACAACTCCATCCAAAGTCCAATCCCAGGAACACTCACTGAGGGTGAAGCTCAAGGGGCAGCACAGTGGCTCAGTGGTTAGTACTGTTGCCCTGCAGCGCCAGGGACCCAGGTTCAATTCCCGCCACAGAATCTCTACAGTGTGGAAGCAGGCCATTCGGCCCATCAAGTCCATATCAACCCTCCAAAGAGCATCCCACCCAGACCCACTCCTCCTACCCTATCCCTGTAACCCTGCATTTCCCGTGGTTAATCCACCTAGCCTGCACACCCCTGGACACGATGGGCAATTTAGTATAGCCTAAACTGCACATCTTTGGACTGTGGGAGGAAACCAGAGGAGACCCACGCAGGCACGAGGAGAATGTGCAAACTCCACACAGTCACCCAAGGGTAGAATCAAGCCCAGGTCCCTGGCATGTGAGGCACCTGTGCTAACCACTGAGCCATTGTGCTGCCCATTAAGGTCCTACAAATAAAGTTTCAGGAGTGAGGGAGTTCTAAATAAGGAGCATTAGGGTACTAATACTTGGTTTATTCACAACGGCAAGAGCCATTTAGTATTGCAGCAGTAAATCAGATCAACATTTAGTTGGATGAACAATGTTGGATGTGTTGGAGGGTGTTTCGGATTCCTGAGACATTGGGCAAATGCCACCTATACAACAGGAACAAGTTGTGCTTTAACAGGGCTGTGATCATCATTCCCTGTGGGAAGTTCAACTAGTACTTTACAGAGCGGCACCAGAATGAAACTTTAGACAGGAGTTGGGAAGAGCAGAGCCTGAGGCAACTGACTGCGCGGAGTTTGCAAATTCTCCCAATGTCTGCGTGGGCTTCTTCTGGGTGCTCCGGATTCCTCCTACAGTCCAAAGATGTGCAGGCTAGGTGTTTTAGTCATGCTAAATTGCCCCATGGTGTCCAGGGATGTGCAATGTGATGGATTAGTGATGGGAAATGTGGGGTTATGGGGCTGGGTCTGGGTAGGATGGTCTTCAGAAGGTTGGTGCAGGCTCGATGAGCCAAATGGCCTCTATGTGCACTGGAGGGATTCTAAAGAGAGAGATTGTGAAATTAGAGGTTGAATAATGGAGGTGCGAAGCGTGTTCCTGCAGCATTCACCCTCTTGTTAATCTAACTCCTAAATGTGAGAAGAGCTGCCTCATGATTTTTACTGACCAGTTTGCAACAGGGAGTGTTGACCTCTTTGTACATTAATACGCTGTACGCCCTCCTTTCACTAATGTTTTGACAGCATAGACAGGTCATGTTTTCATATGTAAGATGAAAATTGAATATTTGATCTGGAGCATCGAGCAGTAACTTGATGTAATGGTCTGGATCCTGTGAAAGACAAGAAGGGACATTTATTTAATAAGACATTCCTAACATTACCAGCTTCTAACAACAACCTGAATTCATGTGGTATTAAAGGGGACTTGACAGAGAAGCTGCAGAAAGGTTTTCTTTTCCCCTTTGTGGGACAGTCCAAGGCATAATGTCAGAATAAGAGGGTTAAAACAGAGATGATGAGGAGTTTCTTCTCTCAGAAGGTGGTGGACCTGTGAAGTTCTTTGCTACAGAGGGCTCCCTTAAATATATTCACAGCTGACATAGACAGATTTTTAATTAATAAGGAGATCAAAGGTTATGGGGGACAGGCAGGAAAGTGGAGTTCAGGATTATCAGATCAGCCATGATCTCTCATTAAATGGCGGAACAGCCTTGATGGGCTGAACGGCCTACTTTTGCTTCTGCATCTCACGGTCATCCGGTCAATTAGACCTTAAAACGTTCTGTAGTGATTCAAAGGAATGCAATCAGGCAAGCATTTGAGGCTAAGGCATTAGACGCTCAAAGAGGTGACCTCACTGAATGTCTTTAAAGGGGTATTGAGTAGCAAGCAGCTCCAGGGTTTAGTGCTGAGGTAGCTGAAGCCACAGAGTGATGGAAATCACTGGACCAGAGGTCTGCTCTCTCATTAGAGAGAAAGAGAGTGAGAGAGAGAGAGAGACAACTGTGGCGATTTAACCTGGGTCGCCACACCTCAGGTGAGGGGAGAGATTGAGAAGGAGAGTTCTTCACGGTAACCTCACGCTGAACCCATGCTGTTAGCATCACACTGCTTTGCAAACCAACTATTCAGCCAACTGAGCTAAACTGAATGATGACCTACCAAGAGAGAGAAAAGAAATTCTCCTCACCCCCATCTTAAAAAGGAAATCTCTTATTCTTAAACTCTGCCCCCTAGGTCTAGTCTTCCCCACATGAGGAAACAGCCTGCAGGTATCCAGCCTATGAAGTCCCCTCAGATCTTATAAGTTTCACTCAGATCACCCCTCATTCTTCCAAACTCCAGTGGGTACAGGACCAACCTTTCCAACTATCCCTCATCCAAAGCAACTTCATTAAGAGTCACAGGACTTGAAATGTTAAATGAGATAACAAGGTGTAGAGCTGGATGAACACAGCAGGCCAAGCAGCATCAGAGGAGCAGGAAGGCTGATGTTTT